GGTTGCTATGGGGATGTTTGTGATAAGGAGTTTACAACCGGCCTGGTTCACATCAGCTTCAGGGATGCTTCCACATGCCTTTATGCTTCAATCTTATTAAGGCAATCCCATTCATCCGAGGCCTCTAGAAACTTGTCTTTTTCACCCAAAGATTCATTTTTCTCACCGGAGTAAAATGGCAAATGCTGCGATTTCCAAAGTCCTCTTGATTCATGCCACCCATGGTAGTCAGTGAGGTGTGAGTGGCGTCTGATTGTTTTTCTTCAATGATTCTTTTCTAAAATATTTAGAGATCAGATATTTCACATATGGAGGTTGGTTTCAAAAGTAACACCATATGGAGTTGGTGAGTCCTCACCCAAGCGCATCCCCTCTCTGCTACTAATTGAAGCAGCCATGCTCTTTTTTCAGGCTTCCATGCAAGCTGAAAAAAGACGCAACTGCTTCAACAAATCGACTCATTAAAGTGAATGTATGCCTTACAGCAGCGGAGGTTTTGTTGAATAGTATAGATTTGTATTTCGATTTTTTAATGATGTTTTAATACTGCATGCTGCCTAGAGTCATTTGTTTTGGTGGCCTTATAAATCCAATGTGTTGTTCTTGTTATTGAAATGCAGTCCTCCTTCAAGGTTTCAATTACTTCTGAAATATTTGCAAAACATTCAAAGCCCTAGTACTTACTTGTGGATCGAAATTCTTAGATTCAAAAGTGATTTCCTTTTGAGTGGTCCCCTTTTCACTGAAGATATGAATTACTTCCGGTATGTTTAATTTGACAAAGTTGCTAGAAGCAGCACATTTTGATTCGTTCAGACGACATCCCTGAAAAATCTCTAAACTGCTTATCTTTTCACTGCTTTCAATATGTATAATTTAATCTCTTAGTATCTCCAGCTCTTTAACATTCCTGAGGCTTCCATATAGTTTTATTTATTTGCTGATCTTTTTTCACTTCTAGCATCTTTATCCAAGTTCTCACTGAGTTGCTGTGCCTGGGTGTGAGCTGTTACACTCTAGAGATTGATCCAAAATACTCTCTCCAAACAGAAAGCCCATCAGTCAGAGACCAGGATTGAATTAATGCTTCTCTGTGATGGTTTGGTACATCAAGTGATTTTTTTCATACAGAAAAACTTGAAGGCTCATGAGCTCTCTGCAAAAGCCAAGCATAAATATTGTACTTTAGGAAGAACTAGATTGGAAATCAATTTCTGTGTTAGATCCATGCCCCTCCTGGCTGATCAAGGCTGCCCGGGAGACGACGCGTGATTGGGTCTTGGGTCTGGGCAGTGGTTAATTCTTCCTTGAGGGATGGGGTGGTCCTGCCGGCTATTAAGGAGGAGTTGGTGTGCTGTCTCCTCAAGGGGCCATCGCTCAACCCAACTAGTCTGGACAATTATCATCCAGTCTCCAACCTCCTCATTTTAGGGAAGGTTGTGGAGGAAGTGGTTGCACAGCAGCTTCCAAGGACTCTGGATAAAGCAGATTATCTGGACCCCTTTCAGTCAGGATTCAGGCCAGGTTACGGGACTGAGATGGCATTGGTTGCACTTTTGGATGACCTCTGGCAGGAGCAGGATGGGGGTAGTGCATCCATCCTTGCTCTTCTTGACCTCTCAGTGGCCTTCAATACCGTTGATCATGGTGTCCTTCTGGACCAGCTTCAGGAATTGGGTGTGGGCAGCACTGTGTTGTGCTGGTTCTCCTCCTTCCTCTGGAGTTGGTTCCAGTTGGTGTTGATGGGGGGGACAGGTCCAGCCCACAGCCCCTACTTTGTGGTGTGTCAGAGGGCATGGTCCTCTCTCCCCTCTTCTTTAACATCTGCATGAGGCTGCTGGGTGAGGTGATCCAACTGTTTGGGGTGAGGCATCATCAGCTTTATATCTCCACCCCAGGCCACCTGAGTGATTCCATGGATGTTCTGTCCCAGTGTCTGGAGGCTGAAGGGGCCTGAATGGGGCACAGTGGGCTCCGGCTCAACCCAAGCAAGACAGAGTGGCTTTGGGTACTTGGGCCTTCCATTGTCAAGGTTTTTCCACTTTTAGAAGGGAATGGGGTGGCACTGCCCCAGATAGATGTGGTACACAATCTGGGGGCCCTCCTGGACTCACAGCTCCTGCTGGAAGAGCAGGTGGCATCTGTGGCTAGGAGAGCCTTTACGCACATTCAGGTTGTGCACCGGCTGTGCGCATTCCTGGCCTGGGAGGCTCTGCTCATAGTCACTCATGCCCTCATGACCTGTTTGGATTACTGCAATGCACTCTACATGGGGCTGCCCTTGAAGAGCATTCGGAAGCTTCAACTGGTGTGCCCAGGCCTGGGACCCCAAGTGTGTTAAGGGCCCTGTTTCCTGGTTATATGAACATCTACGGTTATGACTCTTCTTAGCTGCTATATATATTTATTTTTTGTATTGTGTTTGTATTTGGTTTTAATTGATTTGATGATTGTTCGCCACCCAGAGTCACTGGTTTGAGATGGGTAGCCATAGAAATTGAATAAATAAATAGTAAATTCAGAAAATAGTTTAGCGAGTCTTTTCCTATCACACACGTCACTGCCCAGCTAACTTTCTTTTTGCTGGCATGAAAACCAGATTCTTGAATCTTGCACTGTGCTGTCATTATTTAGTATCATCTTATTCAGTTTCTGCTATGATTATTACATTACTGATGCAGGTGAGGAATTAGAAAACATTTATGGTAATGTCTCACAGAAGCTCTTCTCTCTTGTTTGTAACTCACAGCAAAAGGAAGGTCAGTTCAGTATGTTGCAGCTAGTTGGCATGCTGCGGGGCATAGCAGCTGGCATGCGTTACCTCTCAGATATGAATTATGTTCACCGGGATTTGGCTGCCCGCAATATTCTGGTCAACAGCAACTTGGTTTGCAAGGTGTCGGATTTTGGCTTGTCAAGATTCTTAGAAGATGATGCTTCAAACCCAACTTATACTGGAGCCTTGGTGAGTTCTTATGCAAGACAATACTTCTTCATGAATCTGCAGTATTCAGGCAGCATTCTCCGTTTGCACTGTATCCTGTTTCAATGTTATCTTGTGCTAAAGTTGTCGTTGGTCTTCTATCTAAAGAGAAAAATATGATGTATTTCTCTTTATACTGAGGAAGTAGGTAAAAATGGATGGTACACTTTCTTTTGATTGTCCCAAGTTTTATGTAATGAAAATGCCATCTTTTTGGAATGCCCTCTGTATGTGTTTTATAACTACTACTAAAATCAGTAGTTATCTCTTTCTATTTCTCTAAGACGATTACTTGCTTTTTTTATCTGAGAACTGACAACATTTCAGTGCACTTGTTTTGAGCTGAGAGCTGTTTTATGCATACTGCTTTTCTTTTCCTTTAAAATTATAGGGTGGCAAGATCCCCATTCGTTGGACAGCTCCAGAGGCTATCCAGTACCGCAAATTTACATCCTCAAGTGATGTCTGGAGCTATGGCATTGTGATGTGGGAGGTCATGTCCTATGGAGAGAGGCCCTACTGGGACATGTCCAATCAGGATGTAAGTTTTAACGTGTCCTGAACATTAAAAGTACCTGCTCTGAATCAGATGTTTGCTTTTTGGATAGCATTCATGTATAGGCATACCTCGGAGATATTGCTGGTTCGGTTCCAGACCACCTCAGTAAAGCGAATATCACAATAAAGCGAGTCACACAATTCTTTTGGTTTCCCAGTGCATATAAAAGTTATGTTTACAATGTACTGTAGTCTATTAAGTGTGCCTTATGTCTAAAAAAACAATGTACATACCTTAATTAAAAAATACTTTATTGCTAAAAATGCTAATCATCATCTGAGCCTTTTGTGAGTTGCAGTCTTTTTGCTGGTGGAGGGTCTTGTAAAAAAACACAATATCTGCGAAGTGTAATAAAGTGAAGCACAATAAAATGAGGTATGCCTGTATACGCCAGTGGGAGCACGTTCTAATGCTTTTCTTCCTTCATTGTAGGTAATCAATGCTATCGACCAGGATTATCGTCTTCCACCTCCTCCAGACTGCCCTACTGTTTTGCACCTGCTGATGCTGGACTGTTGGCAGAAAGAACGGGTCCAGAGGCCCAAATTTGAGCAGATAGTCAATGCTCTGGACAAGATGATTCGCAAGCCATCTGCTCTCAAAGCGACTGGTACAGGAAATAGCAGGTAGGAAGGGAGCATCAGGGAAGTGTATAAGCCACAGATTGGAGGGAAATGATAGCTGTGTTTTGAAATTTAGAAATGTAGCATACCTTCTAGGTATTAACTTGGAATCTGATGCTTCTTCTGGACAAAGAAAACAATAATCGACAAGTTCCTAATACCTGTTATACATGTAGGGTCAACATGAAGTATGCAAAGTTTTATTACATAGAATCCTGTATTTAAATACTTTGCAAGAGGTAAAATGAGTGAAGGGAATCAAATGCATGGACACTGATGCCAAAAGTAGAGTAGAGGCAGGAATAAATGCATCTGCCAGGACGGGGAATCTTTTGTGATAGTGGCGGTGAGTGGGTTAATAATGCAAAGTGGGCATGGCCAGGATTTCCTTGGGAAAGTGAGGGTGGGGTCCTTGGATTTTAGGAAGAGTTTGGGAACTTAAACTATTTCAGATAATGCTTACACTACAGTTTGTGTTTCCCACCACAAAATGTCAGGAAATGCTGTCACCGGTTTTGAGCACTGTGATATGAGGTGTCCTGGAGGCCACAAAAAAAGTTTTTGAGGGCTGTAACCGGCCCTAGGGCCTTAGGTTTCCCACCTCTGATTTTCGTAGGGGCAGTATATATATAAGGGGCAGACAACCATTTAATGGTCTGGGGTCCTAACTTCTTCCTTTCATCCATGGAAGCCAAAGCCTATCTTGGGTTTCTGAGCCTACATCAGTAACACCATATTCTTTCCCAAGTTTATATCCATGATAGCTTGAAAAAGCAAATATAATAGTAACAGCCACAGCTACATTTTGCATGGATGTAACATTATCCTACAATACATAGTGAAAGTTAGTCTTATTTTTTCTTAATTGCTGAGGGAAGGAGTGAAGCTGAAATGGAAGAGCGTTCATAAGAGGTGAGATAAGGTGGAAACAGGAGTATTGTGGCTCATAGTCCACTCTCAGCCAATTATGCAGCACAATGGTGATTATTATTTTGCTCTATTAATAGGGTGCTTGATTTCAGATTTCTGTGCCTGTTAAGTAAACAGCAGTATACTGAGGAGTTAAATGAGGAAAGTTCTTTTTTTTTTTTTTTAATATTTTTTT